TGCCCGCCGGGGCCCCGACGACGACGAGCGGGGCTACGAGATCATCAGCTTCGCGGAGCCAGGTGGGTGCGCGGGGCCCCCGACGGGGCTGGGGTGAGCAGGGCTGTGCCCGGTGCCAGACCGCGGGAGACCTTGGGCAGGCCCCTGCTGGGCCGGCCCCTGGGACAGGGTCTCCCTGCCCTGGGATGGTGGGGACCCACAAGGATGTGCAGCCACTGAACCTCGGGGCTCTGCAGCACTGCTGGGGCCAGGGTCCTGGCCATCTGCCTCCTCGCAGTGAAGTGAGGGTGCCTGGAGCCATGCAGGCTGTAATTAAATCATTAGTTAATGCACCTGCTCTGCACTGGTGACCTCCCAGCACTGTTGATGCAGGAAGGTTCAGCCTGGGAGAAGGAGAGATGGCCTCTCTTTTGCTCCTGCATGGGCCAGTTGGGACCTTACACCTGAAGTGTTGCAATGCCTGTCCCCTTCCTGAAGGGTGGGGGCAACCCAGGGTCCCTGGGACTCCCAGTAGTTGGACCCAGGAGCTGCAAGGACTAGCTCGGGGGTGGGGGGGTGCTGGAAACACACTCCAGCCTTGTGCTGTGCAGCAAAGGGAAAGGGCCAGAAGGGCCAGGTGAGAGCAGGTGCCCCCTGCCCCCTTCTGTGCCCATTCTGCCAGGCAGGATGGGACAGTCCCCCATTCCAACACTGCCCCCCTCCAGGTAGCATTCCCAAGGCAGGGAATGGGACGGACTGAGGGCCCTGTGGAGGGAGGGAAGTTTGTAGGTCTTTCCTGAGAATAAGCTGAAAGAGATTGGCCTTGATGTGCAGGATGGTGGTGCAGCCTTACCTTCCCTAGCATCCTGCAGCATTCACCTCCTCATCCCTTTCTCCCCTCAGAGCTCACATCTCCCTCTGGCTTGGGGCTGCAGTTCCAGTTCAGCCGTACACAAGACCAGGATGTTCACATCCTGCAGGCTCAGCTTTGGCTCTACCTTCGAGTTCCCCGAGACCTGGTAGCCAGCCTCACCCTGAGAATCTTCCTTGCTGGTGGGGAAGGTGATTTGGTGGGGGGCAATCGCACATTGCTGAGCGAGAGGCGACTGAGTGCTAAGGGCAGTGGCTGGCATGCCTTCACCCTCATGCCTGCCCTGCAGAGTTTCTTTGGGGGAGAGCGCAGGACCCTGCGGCTGGAACTGGAAAGCCATGGGGATGGGGGTGATATCACGGCAATAGTCAATGCCAGCCGGTCCCACCAGCCCTTCTTGGTGGCCGAGGCAAAGGTGCGGGAGCCGGGACACCACGTGGCCAAGCGCAGCCTCCGCTGCAGCCAGAACTCCAACCTCTGCTGCCGCAAGGACTACTACGTGGATTTCCGTGACATTGGTTGGAACGACTGGATCATTAAGCCTGAGGGCTACCAGATAAACTACTGTGTGGGCCAGTGCCCTCTACATGTGGCAGGCAGCCCTGGGATGGCCTCTTCTTTCCACACAGCTGTCTTCAACCTTGTCAAAGCTAACAACATCCAGGCATCAGGGCACTCTTGCTGTGTGCCCACGCGACGCCGGCCCCTCTCTGTCCTCTACTTCGATCGCAATAGCAACATTGTCAAGACTGACATCCCTGACATGATTGTTGATGCCTGTGGCTGTAGCTAGGGTTGGGAGAGCTGTGCTGGGTACCCCCCTTCTCCAGGACTGCCTTTCTGGGGTGGGCAGGGGGAGACCTGGAGAGCTCCTTTGAGCTGGAGTCAGACCGTGGTGCAATGGACCCCTTTGAAAAGGTTGGGAGGGAGGGAGGGAGAGAGTCTCATCAGAGGGAGCAGGGTTTGTCTCCAGAGAGCACCTGGGGCAGGGGTCTTTGGGGACATGTGGGACAGAGCTAAGGCCACATTAGACTGCCTGAGTCTGAGCTGTGGGTGGTTGGTGACTCTGGGCATCCCTGCCCTGACTGGTAGCATTCCTCTGGTCCCAAGCTGATCCCACATTTCTGGTGGTCATGTTCCCCTCTGTGTGTGGGGTGAGGGGGCCCTCCTTTGTTCACATTCAGAGTGTCTGGTGACAGTTTGGGACTTGGCCTCCTTGAGAGCAGAATGGAAGGTGGGAATGGGTCTGTTTCCTCCAAGTGGGAAACCGGTGGACAAGAGGCAGTCCTGCTTTTTTCCTCTACTGCAACAAATCTTCCTGCATCAAATTTGGGCCTATTGTTGGGGACAGGTTGAATGAGGCACAAATAACAGGCCTGGAAGATGAGGATGAAGGGTATGACTTTGTCAAGAACCCCAAAACTGCAGTGACTAGACATGGTCCTCTGCTCCCAGGAGGATATGGAGCTATGAAGGATGGCCTTGCTTCCTGGCCAGATCCTGTGTATTTCCCCTTTCATTTCCCTGGGTTTTGTACTTTTCTTCCCTGCTGCCCACCCCACCAGACAGGTCTCTTCCACCCCAGTGCCTCCTTACGAGGAGGTCTGACTCAGACTTTGCCTTTAAGACCATACTAAAGGTACAGATTTTTTTGTACCTCTAGTTTTGTAGTTATTACTACTTTTATGGTAGAGGTTTCTGCCACTGTTGGAACTCCCTGGTGCTCCATCCTGTCTGCCCACCTCTCTACTGAAGATCCCACTCTGCCTTTGCCTTCCTGATACTCACGTATGCAATGCACCCACACGGCCTGTGCTTTTAATTTATTTTAATATGTTGGTGCAGCTTCCCCAATAAATGGGTGGAAATGCAACATCCAGGCTCTGACTGCTTTCTCCTGGCACCACCTGCATGAATGGCGTGGGGGAAATGGTCCTGCTTGGCTAGAAGGTCCTCCTCCTGGCCTAGACACCTCAGGCTCTGGCTGGGAGGATGCTGGGCTCTGGGGCTGGAGTGGCACAGGAGCTGCAAGCCATTAGCAGCAGCTGTGTACAGCACTGCTGTGCTGGGAGGTGAGGGGAGATGTGGTGCTTCTGGGACTTCCTGGAGGCCATGGGGTGTTGCACATTGAGACCCTGTGTGAGCATGGCTATGCAGGGGGCTCTTCCCTGTGGATGGGGGACCCAGGGATAGGGTAGGGGCCGGAAACCAGGTACCACCTCACTGGGGGCTGGAGAGGGGTGTCCTGTAATGTGAGCATCAAAGCAGCTGTTTCTCAGCAGGGCAGGTACTACTGGGGGGCATAGCCCAACCTGAAGATGCTGTTCTCCACCTGGATCAGTCCCGAACGGAGCGCACAATGCCATAGCTCTGGAGACTCTGGCCCCAGGGGGGTGACCTTAAATGGTGAGCCACAGGCCACCCCTAAATCCTGTGCCCCCACTGCAAATACCAGAGATTGTACCGTAATCATGTCTCACTGACCTCCCCAATCCCTGCTCATATGTTCCCCTAAACACCACGCAGTGACCTCAGTCTCAACCCCAGAGCAGCCAGTCATAGAGTATGGCAATGCCCAAGTTGATGGGTGATGGGGAGTCTCCTGCGTAATTTGGGGTGGGATGCTTCTGGAGTGGGAGGCAATGCTGCCTGCTCATCCCTTTGGGATCCCACATGGCTGGCCTGGGTCCTTGTTGCGCAAGTGCCCGCTCAAAGCTCAGTTTGGGGCTGTTTTATCTGGGGACAAACCCACTTGCTTTCCCAGCTTGGCCCTGTGCTGTGCCCTGCAAGCGGACAAAGGGCAGCTTTCATCAGCCAGCCGCAGTGGGCATCCCCCCAGGCTGCAGGGGCAGCATGGCCATCACCCACACTCCCCAAAATATCTCCACCTGTGTGGAAAAGCTGACTGCACCTGCAAGATACCTCAGCCTTCTAGGCACTCCCACAGACCCAGCACGTGCGTTGCTGACACAACAGGGCACCTTATCGGTGTCTGTGCCCCCAGGAGTGTGTGCTGCCATACACGTGCCAAGAGTTGCAGGTGTGGATTTCAGGTAAGCGCACGGGGATGTGCACAGTGTCTTTATAGTCTCCCTGCTCCCTCCCTGTATCAGCACTCTTGCTCTAGCCAGTGCAACCTGGGGGGGTGGGCAGGGAGGCATCCCACAAAGACACCAGATACCATGTTTTCATTCGCCAGCAACACAGCATCTTCCCTGTCGCAGTGAATGTGTGTTTCCATGTGTGTTGGGGGGAGGTTGTCCACACGCATGTGCATGATGTGCTGACTCACTGACACACTGACCCACCAGCCCAGAGCCGAGATGCTGAGCTGGCTGTGGTGGTACCATTAAATCTTTAATCTGGGTGATCATCTGGCCCTGCTCTGAACTGCTTTAACTTTCCTAAACAGGAGGCCAAGATTAACCGTGGGGTGGGGGATGCAGCAGGGTTGGGGGTCTGGCAGTTGAGAGCCGCTGGGGCGGGGAGCTGCCCAAGCGTTTTTTCCACCCAGGGGGCTCAAAGCTGGTGGCAAAATGGACCTGGGCCTGTCTGGCCATGCAGACGGCCCCTTGGGAAGAGGTGGGTGGTCTTGGGGCAAGTCCCCAGACCCCGGGATGGAGGCCTGGCCAGGTCGTGGCAGTGTGGGCGGCAGGACTGGACCTGCGCAGTGCCCAGTGCCCAGGCAGGCTTTTCCTGGCAGCTTAGCTGGGGTCACAGCTCAGGCGTAGATCTGCGGAGCCACTTATACCTATTACAAAACGGGCATGCAGGCAACCCCTCTCACCTGCACCTGCCACCTTGGCCTTGCCTTGGGGCTGATGCTGTGGGACTCGATCCACTGCAGCAGTCTGGAGGCACCCCAGGACACAGCTAGCTGTTCTCCCCTCATGCCAGAGGAAGGGGGGAACTGTGCAGGCATTGCCACCTCCCCTGTGTGCTGGGGCCTCCCTGAGGAGCAGAGACACCCCTACTCATCCCTCGCTGTGTTGGGGGTGGCTGGCAGGGACAGGAACCAACCTCAGACTAGGACAGTAGGGAGGGAAACTGAGGCAGGGAACAGTCTTTTGCAGGCCACGTCTGGGAGCTGAGGTGTCTCCTGAAATCTCTCTCGTACTGCAATCCCCACATTGTCCCTCTGCTCTGGGGGTCCCATGCAGTCAGTGGAGAGGGCGTTTCCCAGAACTGTGGCATGCATAAAGCTACTCCTGTGGTGCACTGGGCACCTGCAGTGCGTGATGACACGCGGGGGCACTGGGAAGACAGGCTAATGCCAAGGAAGGCAGAGTGCCCACAAGCAAGGGTAATCCTGCTAAGAGGCTCTGAGGTCAGGCTGGGTGTGTGGCACAGCTCCCATCACCTTTGAGTGACACTAGACACGGGCAGCCATCATCCCAGGGAGCAGGATGGAGTTGGCAGGAGCTGGGAGCAGCTGAGCACTGGGGCAGGGTGAGAATGCTCATGCCCCCACAAAAAGTGTGTCTGGGGTCACCTGGAGACCTGAGCACGCACAAGGTGGGGCATGTGCTCACTCTGAGCAGGCTTTCCTCCCGCAGGAGCCCCAGGGAACAGCCCTTTGCCAAGCCCCACTCCTGGTCCAGGCTCACTCCAGCCCTAGTCGTCCCGCTGCCCTGTCTGCTCTGGGCTGCAAGGCTCCATGAGGCCACCATCTGGGGCCCAGAGCTCCCACGTGGGCTGTCCAGGCAGGGGGTTCGTAGCTTTGGACTCACTTTCCCAGCAGTCAGGGAGGGAGGACTAGGGAAAAATGGGGTGGGGGCAGAGCTGCAGGAAGGAGCAGCTTCCTGAAGGGACCCATCGGGGCAGCCCCAGGAGAATTGCTGGACACCTCAGTGGCTTGCAGGATGGGAAGGCAGGAGGACTTCCAGGTGGAAATGAGGGGGCTCATCTCCTGAAGTGGCTGAATGGGATCACCTGCAAGGATGGGAGGGCTAGTTTAAGGGGAAGGAAGAGGTTGTAGAGCATGCCCACTGGAGGCAGGATCACCTTAGGGATACAGCCTGCACCTGGCACCTCTGGTTCTTTGGGCAGACACACGGGGTGCAGCTGCCCTTGGGAGACCTGGGGAAAAAGGCCTGATCCCTGCCTCCATCTAGCTGCCCCATTGCAGTGGGACCCTGGTGGGCAGGGTAGCACGGGGGCACTGGAGGCCTGGGAGCACCCCAGCTCTGGCCTCACAAAGTGGGTGAAGATGGATGTGCATCCCTGGCTGGAGGAAGAGCCCCCAGCCCCGCTGCCCTATGTGCTGAACCCTGTGCACCCCCAGAGAGTGGCCATAGCAGCCCCCAGGCCTGCACCTTCCCTAGCCCCTCGAGGGGCCAGGGACCCCCCCCCGCTCCAGCTCTCTCTCAAGGGGGTAGCACCTGAAAACCTGCTCTCTCTCCATCATTTCAAGGCAGGGTGATGTGAAGAGAGCGATGTCCCCTAGGGGGGACAGGTGGG